GGGCTTCGGGGCGCGCGGAGGGCGCGTGGGGCGCGCTGGGCTCGGGGCGGGGCGCGGCGGCCGGCGGAGCAGGATGCAGCGCGCAGGCGCACTGGCGCTCGCGCATCCTCCCTTGCGGACCCAGCCGCCCCAGCCAAGCTCTGCGCCTGCTCCCGCGGCTGCGTCCGCAAAGCCCTGCCTGCCTACGTGGCCCCGTGACTAGCATATAGGGCTCTCCCAAGGCGATGGTGCCGGAATTAAACGATGTTCGAAACGTCCTTAGAAACCGGCTGGCTCAGAGTGCGCCCGTTTAGCTGTGATGGCAATGGCCAGCCGCAGCCCGGCAGCCCTGCCCAGGGCAGCTGTGACATAGAGGTCTGTGGGTTGGCCATTTGGGGCGGGTCGATCCTAATTCAGCCACTAGACTGAGGGCCTTAGTCACTCAAGGGGAGTGCAGAGAGGACGCCACCCCAGGGCTGCCCAGCAGGGCCACCTGTGCTCAGGCATGAGGAGGACGTGGGTCTCCTGCTACACTCTAAGCCTAAGCTCAGCAGAAAAGCTTGCCATAATAGAGGGAGTCCCACTTTTGTCACCCAGCACCCCCATCCCTGCCACCCAGCAGTCGCCTGCCTTGGGCCTGGATCAACTGCCCCCCAGGGCTGTGCCTCCCCCAACCATGCTGGCTCACCGAGAGGCGGGTACTGGGAGAAGCTCTCCACACACATGGGCTTTCCCGGGACCATCTCCACGATGGCGGCATCACCAGACTTCAGGGACTTGGGGTTGTCCTCCAGCTTCTTGCCGGAGCGCCGGTCAATCTTCTCCTTCAGCTCTGCAAACTTGCAGGCAATGTGCGCCGTGTGGCAGTCAATGACCGGCGAGTAGCCGGCGCTGATCTGCCCGGGGTGGTTCAGGATGATGACCTGGGGCAGAGTTGCACGCGGCCATCAGGCACAGTGGGCACCAGGGGAGGGCACGAGAGCGGGGCTGGGAGGCTGCAGTTGCAGGGCCCAGAGTGCCAACTGCGGAGAAGTTCAGGCTGTGGGAACCCACGCCCAGACCTGGACCCAGCATCCCCGTTAAGCATCTGACAATCTAGGAGCGATAAACACCTGACAAGGGCATTGTTTGAAAAGGCCAGGGCAGCGCTCACACTGCCAACCCTGGCCAGAGCTAAGGCGGGGAGGGTGGGGGGTGGCAAAATTGCACCTCGATTATTCTATTTCAATTGCATCTCAAAGCAGTTTTTAAAAATCAGTGTCAGGCTGGGCATGGTACCACACGCCTGTAATCCCAGCATGTTGGGAGGCCCAGGCGGGAGGATCCCGTGAGCCCAGGAGTCTGAGGTTAGAGCGAGCTGTGATGACACCACTGCACTCCAGCCTGGGTGACAGAGCCAGACCCTGTCTCAAAGCAGAAATCACTGTCATATGAAGAGGTGATTGAAAAGGGTGCAATGAAAAACGGAGAGAATGGAAGTATTACCGGGCTGTCTCAGGCAGCAAGTTAACGGGAGCGTTTTCAGGACAGCCGTGTGATCGCACACTCAGGAGTGCGTGGAGCCTGGTGGCTGTCCCAGCCCTGGTTCCACCCCTCGTGGCCTGAGATGGGGGCTGCTTCCTCCCGGGCACCAGGCCACGTGGTGCCGGCAACCGCCCCGAGGGCGGCCCTGCTGCCCTGCACAGGCAGGGCCCACGGGACTGGCGCAGCCGCCCACCTGGGAGGTGAACTGGGCGGCCTCCTGTGGCGGGTCGGACTTGCTGTCCCCGCACACGTTGCCCCGGCGGATGTCCTTGACCGACACATTCTTCACGTTGAAGCCCACGTTGTCGCCGGGCAGGGCTTCGCTCAGCGCCTCGTGGTGCATCTCCACCGACTTCACCTCCGTGGTGATGTTCACGGGTGCAAAGGTCACCACCATGCCCGGCCGCAGGATGCCGGTCTCCACTCGGCCCACGGGCACCGTGCCGATGCCTGGCCGAGAGGAGGGGGTGTGAGGGGCAGGCGGGGCAGAGGGGATGGGGGGCAGAATATTTGGGGAGGGAGCCTGGAATCCGTGGTCCTCCCTGGCAGGGCTGGGAGGACACAGCCACGGGAGGCAGTGAGGGGGGAGGAGGTCCGGGGACAAGGCAGACACTGAGATTCTGGCAGAAGTGGGGGCTCCTGACCCAGCTGGGGAAATAAGGGTCTGAACAAGAGAGAGTTCCTAGGGACCAGAGGAAACTGACAGAGGCAGAGAGG